GTCTTTATTCTTCATATGTAATTTAAAAGCAAGCTTTTCTTTGTAAAAACTTTAATTGAATTTCAATAAAGTTAAAGTTATGGCCTTACTACTAATATTTAAAAAAAAAAAATAAGAATAATTTTGGCAAGATTGTCAAAGAAGAAAAAAAACCTCCTTAAAATACTGTATTAATAAAAAGATATACCAAAATTACTAATTTATATATAAAAAATAATAAGTTATAAATTTATATATAAAAAATAAACAAAATTTGATAAATAAGTTATGTAAACTAATAAATCTAAAATTTTATAAGCAGTTATTGCTTAAGATGTTATATATACTATATATACAAATATATTTATTTTGAATATATAAAACAAATATTTAGTTTATTATATCAAAAAAATATTTAAATAATAAAATACAAAGCAGCAAATTGCTATAGTAATTTAATTTCTGTTTGAAGATGCTATATATATTATATATTTTGAATATTTTTTAAAATTTATTAAACAATTTTTTTAGTAAACCTGATATAGAAATAAATAAAAAAATTTTAATAATTTTTTAAAAAAATACTACTATATGCTTATAAGTAGATCTAAAGTATTAGAAATTAGTTCTATATTTTATTAGTTCTAAGTACTAGTACTATTATTATATAATATAATATTTGTAACTTGTATTTATAAAATTAATTAATTAATATAATTTATCAATATAAAAATTTTTATTAGTTAAATATTTATATTAAATTCAGAGTAGTTATCAAGACTAGTTAGAGATAAATATAATATTTTTTATAATAAAATTTTAGAATCAATATACTATATTAAATTACTATAAAAGAATAATAATTTTAAAATAATAATTAGATTCTAGTTATACAAAGACTAATTTTAAAAGTATATAATATTATATAAATAAATTTAATAAGTATATACTTAGATAAGAAGTCTACTTAAAATTCTAAATATAAAGATAACATAATTTTTAATAGCATATATTATCTATAAAGATTTTAATCTAAATAAAAAACCTAGAACTAATAATCTTTATAAGCAAAACTTTTAGATAATAAAAATTTATCAATCTAATTACTAGTTGATCTAAACATAAAATTACATTATATAAAGCTAACTGGATTAATAATATAAAAAGACTTATAAAAATATACAAGATATTAGTAAGATTATAAAAAAAATGATTTAATAACTAACCTTAATTGCAAGTATTAGTTTTAACTATAACATTACTAGATCAACTATAAGATGATTTTAAAAGATTTAGTACAAGGTTAAAAGTTTACTATATAAGTGAACTGTTTTAAAGACTTAATAACTATAACATATTTGTACTAGTAACAACTAGAGCATTTGGTAAATATAAGTAGGTAAGTGGATATAGAAACCATAATATTTAATAAGAAACTCACAGGCAGATTTTAGATATAGTAACTAATGTAGAACCTTCAAGTAGATTACTTAATTAGACAATAACTAAAATCATATAAGTGACTAATTGTACATTCTTTCCATGGTTAGTTGCCTTCTGTGATTGTAATGCAACCATTAACTAAATGGATTATCAATAAAATCCTGGATCATAAGTACTCATCTTAATATTAAAAAAAAATTTAAATTATTATAAAAAAAAAAGACTTACTTTGTCTTTAATTTCTCCTGCAATATTTAACATTTTTAAATTCTATAAAAGCAAAATGTTTAATGAAAAGTGTCTTCATAAAGTAATAATGTTAGAATTTTATCTCACTAATTGAAATATGTCACGGCCTACTTGAGTATCTGTTATCACCCAATTTACAAACATAATGCAGGCTACATAGTAAATTGATAGCCGGGTTTTTATAAAAATTTTCCTCAATAACAATAAACATATACAAACAAAATTATATTTGCCGAAGCTCTCTTAGCATGCTCTTTAAGTTTATAAGAGAACCCAAACAATGAATTACTATGCGATCGCAGTAAACATTATGATAGATGACACTCAGGTAGGCCGTGACATATTCAATTAGTTAGGGGAAATTCTAATTTTATTACTTTATAAAGTCACTTTTAATTAAACATTTTCTTTTATAGAATTTAGAAATGTTTAATATTGCGGGAGAAATTAAAAGCGAAGTCGATTTTTTTTATAATAACTTAATATGGAACGCAGATCCCAAGATTTTATCATAAAAAAAATATTATATATCACTATATCATCTGCACTATGTTTATAAATCAACCGATAGGATACTGTACGAACTGTAACAGGAGGAACCGTCGATGTTACATGACTGATCCTTACGATACCGATACCAGATCATTTCGCCAGTACAAGTTATGATTATAATCCAACATCATTTTATTATAATAAAAATGGTGTTGGATTATAGTCATAACATGTAATAGCGGACTAATCTGGTATTGTTAAATAATTTTTTTATATGTTGCACACCGGGTGAAGGATCAGTCGTGTAGCATCGACGGTTCCTCCTGTTACGAACTGTACGCGAAAAAAATTCAGGTATGATATAAATGACACATCGCTAGCGTCCCGAACGTACGATGATCACGTGATCACGTGTCGTCGATTGCGATTTCAAGTCTAACACTAGCATGTCCTCTTAAAGTACATAAATTTGAAACCATTAGCGAAGCAATGGGTTACAACTAGTTTAGTATTAATTTATTATTCCGTATATAATTTGTAACTTTGGTATTTTATAACTATTTTTCTATAGAACCAATCAATTTGATATTGATTGATTAATCGGTCAACTATTGAACAATCCCAAACTTTAATTAAATGATCAAAATGCAAAAATTAAATCAGACTTTCTATACAAATAAGGTAAATGAAATCATTTTTAAATCATTATAATACAATATAAACTTTATAAATTTGATTCTCCCAGATCTTGATTTTGTATCATCGTATGATAAATTCCTTGTAGTCTTAATAATTCTTGATGTGTACCTTGTTCATGAACTTTACCATCTTTTATAACAAATATAACATCAGCATGTTGAATTGTTGATAATCTATGTGCAATTGCTATGGTTGTTCTCCCATGAGCAGCTGCATCAAGAGCCTTTTGTACAACTTTTTCGGATTCTGAATCTAGAGCTGATGTTGCTTCATCAAGTAATAAAATTTTGGGATTTCGAATAAGTGCTCTGGCAATAGCAATTCGTTGCTTTTGACCGCCTAAAAACAATGGGTTAGTGATGTTATATAGAATAGCTCAAAAAAAAAAATTTATGCTAAACAATATTTAATATTTAAGATAATAACCAGAAAGTTGTACTCCTTTTGCACCAACTCGTGTATCATAACCATTAGGTAACTCAATAATAAATTCATGAATATTTGCTTCTCGACATACTTTTTCTAGGTCATTCTGAGTAACACTTTGTTCAGGTAGGCAACCCAAAAGAAGGTTTTCCTTTATAGTCATATCATATAAAGTTGGTTCTTGACTTACAAGAGCAATATGCTCTCGAAGATTGTTCACATTCATTTTAGCAATATTCATTTCATCAATTATAATTGTACCATCAGTTACTTCATAAAATCTTTCAATAAGACTTATTATGGTACTTTTACCACATCCTGATGGACCAACTAATGCCGCATATTGACCAGGCTTGACCTCAAAATTTAAACCTCGGAGAACTGGAGCGTTAGGTCGAGTAAGATAATAGAAATGAACGTTTGAGAATTTAAGGTGACCATTTACAGGTTCAAATTTTTCACTATTTTTCCATGTATCTATTTTAGGAACACGTTCTAATATTGATATTATAGAGGCAGATGCAGATTTTGCTTTAGCAATATCAGGTGCATAAACAAAGTAACGACCGGTAAATGATGATCCAACTACAATTGCTATATAAATTGTATAAACTTTTTTAATATCATATTCATTATCTACAAATAATTTACTACCATACCAAAATGCTAAAGCACTTAATAAAAAGTTGATACAATTTGCAAAAGCAAAAGGAATAGAGGCCAAGTAAGCATTTTTAAAACCTTGACGTGTAGGTTCATCCAATAAATTATGATATTTTTTCCATAAAGTATTTTCACGAGTGAGAGCAGCTACTGTTCGAATATTAGCAGCACCTTCACAAGCTATTTGTGCAGAATATTCATAAGCTTTCTTAGTTTTTTGTTGGAAATTATTTAACATTCTTATACGTAGTGTACCAGATCCAATCATTAAAGGTATAGCACATAAACAGACCAAGGTGAGCTTCCAACCAACTATAAGAGATACTGTTATAGAAGAAATTATCAAAACCGTTATTTGTATTAAATTTCCAAGTGCAACACCAGTTAAACTACTAATCTGAGTTACATCTAATGATAAATGACTAGTCAAAACGCCCACACTATGATCATCATCATCAAAGAATGAAATATCTTGTCGTAAAATAGAAGCAAAAAACATGGAACGAAGTCTTTCAGAAAGTTTTTCACTTGCAAATCCAAAAGTAAGATTTTGGACGAAATTCACCAAAAAGGTTACTGCAGCAAATACAAAAATCATAAGAGCCCAGAAATTTGCTTCCTGACGTAAGGTTTCACCTGATTTGGAGAATGCTTGAATAACATTGGCAAAAACAATAGCATAAAATGAAAAAATGCAACCTAAAATTAAATGGATCAAACATTATTATTTGTTATATAAAGGGTTATCATATAATAAATGAATTATTTTACCTACCATGAATGATTGATGTTATTATACCTATGGAAAGCATAAGAAATTCAGGTCTATTGAAGATTGATACCTTCTTGGTTAATTCCCAAGTAGTATAATTATGGCCATTATGTTTTAATCCTATTTCAACATCATTTTTTTGCTTAGGCAAAATAGGACGAGAAGAGTCATCAAATAACTGGCTATTATTTTCCATAATAGTGAATGATGTAGCATCTTCATCTTTCGGAGTAGTTATATTAAAGTTTTCTTCAGTCTTTAAAGTCTGTTGAATCTGTTGAATTTCAACAAGTTTAAAATAAGAACCTCGTTTATCTATTAGTTCTTTGTGTGTACCTGATTCCACAATAACACCTTTGTTCATTACAATAATTTTTGTCGCGTTGCGAATAGTGGATAAACGATGAGCAATAACTATTGTTGTACGACCCTTTGAAGCTTTGTCTAAAGCATTTTGGACTATATTCTCACTTTGTGTATCAAGAGCACTAGTAGCTTCGTCGAGTAATAGAATCTTCGGGTCCTTAATAATAGCACGAGCAATTGCAATACGTTGCTTTTGTCCACCAGATAATAAGATTCCACGTTCACCAACCATAGTTTCATAGTTATCAGGAAGATCCATAATAAAATCGTGAGCATTAGCTACCTTACAAGCATTTTCAATTTTTTCACGTTTTTGAATATCAGATAAATTTTCATAAATAGAACCAACTAGTCCATAAGATACATTTTCAGCTATAGTAGTTTTAAAAAGTACAGGTTCTTGACTTACAAGACTTATTTGTCTTCTAAGCCAAGTTAAATTAAGAGATTTGATATTACGTCCATCAAGAAATATACCACCAGAGAGAGGGTCATAGAAACGTAGTATTAAAGATACGATTGTACTTTTACCAGAACCTGAAGAACCAACAAGAGCAACAATAGAACCAGGTTCAACTTCTAATGATATATCATTTAAAATTTTAACATCAGGGCGAGTTGGATAAATGAATTTTATATTTTTAAATTGAATATGACCCACAACATCTTCAGGTTTATCACCGGTATCAGAAGCAATATCAATTGAGGGAACACGATCAATAGTTTCAAATATTTTTGAACTAGCACTAGTAGCAAGACTAAGAGCTTGAATATAGTCAAAAAAATTGGAAAGACTCATATATCCACCTACAATCAAAGAGTATACACCAATGACCTTTAAAAAAGAAAAGGAAAATAGTTAGAGACATTAAATTAATATCAGAAAGAAAAAAAAAAGGGAACACGTACTTGTCCGGGAGATATTTCATTATTAATAATCATTGTTGAACCAATCCAGATGACCAAAGCATTAAATGCAGGGATTCCAGAATACATTATGCCAAGAGTTAAACTAATTAATAAAGATTTTTTAAAACCTTCTTTTCTTGCATTACTTAAGTAAGCATCATAAAGGCTAGAGAGTTTCTTTTGAGCACCAAAGGCCACCGCAACTCTGATGGTTGAAATAGAATCTTCGGCGATTTTTCCAGCACGAGAATAGAAATCCAGGCACCTTTTCGCAAAAATAGTACTATATTTATTCATTAAAGTACTATTGATAATAAGAATAGGGACAATGATGCATGTTAAGAGTGTCATTTTCCAACTTAACATAAGTGCCATAATGAATGACGCAATGAAATTTGCAATATACTGAAAAAGTAATCAAGATGAAACAATAAGTAAAAAAGATTGTAAAAAAAATATATATAATTAAATAAAAATAAATCAAATAACTTTATATATATATGAACTTACTAGAACAATAATAGAAGCTTTTTCACTGATACCATCTTGTATCATATGTATATCAGAAGTAATACGAGTAGTAACATCACCTGAGCCATATTCGTCAAAATAAGCTATATTTTGTCTAAGAACTGCACGAAAATATTGTTCACGGATTTGTCGTGCGATTCTAAGGTAACAACAATCATGTGATGAGATTAATATCCTACTGAACGATCGAACTTGATGCTAATATTATATAAAAAACAACCTTTCACCAGTGTATACCCAAGCAGTTATAGATATATACGTAGTAAAGAAAATGATAATTGCAATATATACATAAGCAAATAAAAAGTAGTTTATGTCATCGGAAAACTCGTTAGCGTTTATCGACCGAGCTTGAAAACGAACATAATAATCGGTCATTATTCCATAAAGGACTGATCTTGAAGCCTGTCAAATTTATATAAAATATCATAAATTGAGAATCACCGAAAAAGGAAAGTATTATGAAGAACATACCATGGCAGTTCCTGCAACTAATGAAGTCACTAACCCAATAAACATTATAAACCAGTCAAGTTTTGTAGCGAATCTATATAAAGAAATATATGATCCTTTTCCTTCAATGACATTAATCTGATCTTTTAAAATTTGTTCCTCTGTTGGATCAAGTTTTATATCAGATGATTCATTTGATATCATAATTGTTCTTTCAGTCATCCTTACATTTATATTGAGAATATAAGGATTTAAAATTCTTTTTAAAACAGCTAAACCAAAATTATTTCAATTAAGACCTTGACTAGAGTTTTGAATTTATAAAATAGTAAACTCAGCCTTATTAAAATAAAACATAATAATTATCAACTTTGAGGCTAAGTTTGTTGAGTTATAAACTTAAAAGCCAAAAAGTCCGGTTTATCTAAATAATAACTATTAAACGATTTAACCCGTAACAATAAGATATAAAGATATTAAAAAAAGTTGTGTTTTTTTAAATTTTTAAAAATCTCACATTATATCTGAAAAATACCTCTATTGTGTTGGAAATTTAAAAACTAAAAAAACGAAAATCACATATCTGTCATAAGATAGCTGCGCAATGCATAATATCTCCAAATTTTTAATGATTTAGATTTAATCAATTATACCGGCTTTACCTTATAAGCATATATGTTGTGCGTCTGAATGGTATCATTTAAGGTTTATAATTCACTCCAGTTGAAATGGAATTCCAAATGTACCCCAAGTTGATAAAGCAACTTAAGTTGATTTTAAATTTGATATTGTAGTCAATAAATTTAATAAAAGATTAAATCATATCATTATGATATGTTGTCAAGATAAAATATAAATTTTTTACTACTTCTTTCTCTCATTTCGCTTTTTCGTTCTTTAAAAAATTCTTTATCCGATGACCGAATTTCAAGATTATTCACTTTTGCCTCATAGTGCGTTCAAAAGGATTTCGTTCTAAGTATCTTAGCAACAAATCGGCCAATAGTCGACTTAACATCGGAAAGACGTGCTAAGGTTTTAAATGATCCAGTAAATGCAATGTTACGGGGTGAATTTAACGGTTTAAAGTAAATTGTTTAAGAATAGAACGATTATGCGTTAAGGCAATCGGCAGGGGCGATTTAGCATCATAATTATGTCTATTTATTACGGATTAAGCAGAATTCGATAAAGTTTAAATGGATTGTTATGCAGGGCGAGGATTAAGTAATAAAATTTTTTATTTATTTATTTAAGTATTATTGTCCCGAAGGGTCTTCTTTTATTACAAAGAAAAAATAGCACTCTTTTATAAACAATCATGAAGGCTTGGGTATACACTGGTGAAAGGTTGTTTTTTATATAATATTAGCATCAAGTTCGATCGTTCAGGTTTCCCTTTACACGTAATTCCTCCGTGAACCTTCTTCTCACTGCTTATTGTTAGAACCTTCCAGCATTTGCATCTAAGCCTTGTAGATCGTACCGTATTGTCTCGAAATAACGTCCCGGGGTGTAAGTTAAAATTTTGGCCCGAATTAATCATAATTTGGCCTAAATTAAGCTTAACTCGGCAACAGATTTAACCTACACCCCGGGGCGTTATTTCGGCAGTTCTATTGGTATTATTAGAATTAGTATAATTTTAATTAATCTTTTCCGTTGGGTTCTGATGGGTTTCTAAAATAAGATAGTAAAATCGACTTTGGATATAAAGAACTCAAAGATTTGAAATTTTGAAATAGTTCGGTATAAAAGTGCAATAGGTTTGGTTAAGGAAATATAGTAATTTTCTATAACGGACTTTTTTTCTTACAGAATCTTAAGTTCGTTTTTGAAAGAGTTGACTGTAGCTCAAAAGAGTCTATTATGTAGGTTGTTGACGGAGTACTCCAGTTAATAATAAAACATATAGCCTACCCCGGAGCACTTCCGAAGTGGGTTATATGTTTTATTATAGTCTGGAGTACTCTATTAACAATCCTACTATTATGCAATCCTCTTTAAAAGTAGATAATATTAAATGCGTGCGACAAAAATCATTGTAAAAATTACTCTGTGAGAGTTGTTGCAATCCCACTAATCATAGATGTAAAAACTTCATATAATACTTTAAATATAAATAATGAATAACCCTTATTTTAAAGCGACTTAAATTCCAAAACAAAGTACTCGATAAAATAATTTGGAGTACACTTGATTTTATCGTAAGTTGAACTTGAATTCTTTAACGACTAGGCGCATTTTAGAATTCTATAACCTTTGTTCCTTTGGAATCGACTTAGGTGCATTTTAAATCTACAATAATTCCATTCTGACGTACATCTCAAATTTCTGATAAATCTAATATCAATGCGCAATCTTAAATCACATCACATTAAATACTTATACTGTATATCTAATATAGTACATGTGGGCATGTGAAGTTATTTATTTAAAATCATTGATATTTGATTTTATCACCGAGCAGGGGACAAAGTTCTATTGTAAAAATGCTGGAGGTTTTGTTTGATTATAAATTGACCGAATGATTTTTGTCGATCCATATATCATTTCGGCATATAGATTCGTGTGAACTTACGTACTTACATACTGTGCGAACCTTTGAATTAAATAATGTATTAGCATTACAAAAGTTTTTCCGGCATTACTAGACTTTGATGCCAATTTTACGAAATTATTATTCGCATAACAAAAAGCACATGCACAGTGCCTAACAAAGTTTCCTATCCAAACAAAAGCATAGCACTTTAAAATTTCTTGTGTATAAGAATATCATTAAGACGATCGTCTATTCGTTTACTAGAAACGGAGACGTGTATGGTTATCTGAGGTGTAAAATAATGTGAACAAACAACAAGAGGAACCGTCGATGTTACACGACTAATCCTTCACCCGGTG